GACAGTCTTCTCCCTCCTGATAAATTACAGCCTCAGAAACCTGATAAAAGGTGACTAGGAATAGACTCCATGTCCAAAGTTTTTTGTTGTTATTGGTTTGTTTTATATTTTATTTTTCCTTTTGTTTGTTAATGAGTCATGACTGAATGGATGATCATAAGTTGGGATTTTGGTTTTGTTTTTGTTTGTTTTTTTAGTTTTGTGATGCTTGTACGTTTAAATATTTTTCTGTATTTTTCCACTTTATCAACCCCTATACTGCAAATTCCTTGCAAGACCATAATTACTTTTTTTCATAAGGACTCTGTATTCTCTGAGTTTATATCTGACTCATAGTGACCAAATGTGATGAGTAGAACTGCCCCATTGAACTTTATAGGCCATAATATTAACAGGAGCAGTTCATAGAGTCATTTCATTTCTTTTTATCCTCCTACTATGCCATGGAACAATGGAGGGTGTTCCTATAATCAGTCTTACTATGTATAAGTCCTCTTTTAAGATGTATATGTCCTCTTCCAAAATTCCAGTTAGTATTTTATAACAAGTGTTGATAGATATTTATAGTTGAGCCAAAAGTATAACCAAGAAGCAAGTATTCATCCTCTCTCATTGTTAGACACAGACAATATCTACATTCTCTATGATTGCATAGAGAATCTTTTATTAAGTACATAATCATTGTACTACACGGAGAGCTTAAAGACTATGGCCTAGAAAATTTTCTAGGACAGTTCTGTATTTTATAGGATTACTGTGTACTTTTTATGGTCTCTACCATGCATAACAATAACATTCCAGCATTTTTGTAAAACAAGAGATATATGTCCATTTTTAGTTTGATGTTAGGAAATAGTAAAAAAAATAACCATGGATTATATTAATTATATAAGTGAATAAATGAAAATGTTTAATAGATTATCTAAAGTTTTCATAGGTTTAGAGTTCAAATACAATTACATTTCTTAAAGCCAAATTTATAGTATCTTTAAATACATTTACAGACAATGTAGCTCATATCTACATTTATATATTTTCCTAAAATAACAATACATTTATATATGCATTAGTACAAGTCTTCATTGAGTAACACAGTATTAAATGATTCAACAAGATTTGACAGAATCTAGCATTAGAACAACACTTTTTAATAAGAACAAAGGTAGCATATATTTACTTACTTATATACTTACTTCTTTGCCTCTACTAATATCTAATGTTCACTTCATCATGGAAAGTTGATCTTTTAGTCATCAATAAAACTGCTGACTGAACCCCTACTTTAGTTGTAATAGTCTTTGCAAGTGAAAAGTTGCCCCACTCAATCTCTTTATACAATCATATGCAATCTAGTTACAACTCTGTACCTGAGAAGTGTCCATGCAGTTAGATAAGTAATTTGACAATAAATGTAACTCTCCTTCCCATTTATTAACCACACCTAGACAGTACTTCATCTTCAAGCTCTAGTAAGATGTATATAACCTGTTCCAAACTTCCAGTTGGTAGTTTATAAAAAGTGTTGATAGATATTTATACTTGAGCCAAAAGTAAAACCAAGAAGCAAGTATTTATCCTCTCTTCATTGTTAGACACGGAGGCTATCTACATTCTCTATGATTGCAAGTCTTCGTTGTGGCAAATGCTATCTAAAAAAATGAATATCTGATAGTTATTTTGTTTATATATAAGAAAAACCCAACCTAGCTATTAAATAGAACTCAATTTTACAAAAGCTTATGTTTATTCAACTTATAAAATATTTTGCTTACTGTCTTTTCGTTAAGATTATAAATTTTTCTGATCATGAATTGAAAGAGTTCAAGTGCAAAATGTTACTGATTATTTTTTTACAATATAAATTTTACAGTATAAATTTTTTTTATAATACTAAAGTACTTTTGTATGTTATATTTTATTTCGATGAATGTACACATTTCTTACAAAAAAAAATTTGGCCAGTTTGAAACTTTTCCAACAAAATCAGGGCTTCTTTTATAACCAAATGGCGACGTCTGACTTTACGTCTTGAAATTCATTATAGGTAAATGAACGTGATCGTCTTCTAAGATTTGTTGGTCTCTGAGGTTTTCCTTCTCTCAAATTTAAATAGATGTCAGATTTCAGAAAACGTGTGTAACTATCTTGTTCCATAAGCCGATACACTTTGCTTTGTGCAGCATCAAAACTATGGAGAGTAGGTTGTGTGATGCTCTTTGTAATAATTTCTTTGGTGTGGAAATCAAGATTAACCTGGGAAATTAAAAAGAAAAGTTTGATTAGCATCAGTGTACTTATGCAAACAATTTTGTGAGATTATCAGAACAGGTCTAATACAATTTTGGAAGTAGAGTGGTTGTGTTCAGGTGCTTTATTTTTATGGATATTATTTTATTGTTGTGAATCATTGAATTTGTTCCAATTCATCTAGGTTCTATAGGACAGAGTAGAACTGCCTTATAGATTTTAAAATTTTTATTCTTTATTAGAGCAGACTGTCTTTCTTTTGTTTAGCAGGTAGGCAAACTTCTGACTTTTTTGTTATATGCTGTTATTTGCCATCGATCTGGAACTGACTCAGAGCTGACCCTCTGGTGAGTTTTCAGATGCGGTAAATGATATGGGAGAAGACTACCCAGCCTCCCACAGAACAGCTGGTGGATCTGAACAATGTGCCTTCTTTCTTATCACTAGAGCCTTAGTGTCATTTTAAAATATTGTAATCAATCTTGAATACGTTTTGGATTTTTTAAACAAAAAAAAATCTTTTAACCTTGATGAATGTCCTAGTCAAATACCCCAAGGATAACAGTTCCCCCTCCCAAACTTCTGAGTTCTGGCAGGTGTGAGATATTATACTCTAATACTAAAGGGACATACTAATTATAATCAAACAGATGCAAAATATTATAGCTTGTGACAAAGGGTCTTGGTACACAATTCTTTCAAATATATCTTTGTGATATTCTCCCAGCAGCAGACATGTTTGAGGTAATATTTTATTAATAGGTTCCTAGGAAAATGTTTTGTCACCATTTTGAGACCAGCCTGCAATGAAATGAATGGTGTGTACCATTGCCAATCACATACTCATCAATGCCTTTAACTCTCTCATAGTTTTACAGTCCATTATTAACTTCTTAACCTTTAGTTCCTGTTCCAACGATAAAATAATATACCCCTTTACTTAGTCCAGAGGAGCAACTAATTTGTAACAGTGGATACTTTTCAGTATGACTTATCTCCTTTGCACAGTAAACTTAATTTGCTTTTTTAAAAGCAAACTATGATGTAACTCTAAGACAGCAGATGAGAGCTTAATCATTATGCTAACAAGGTTTCTCTTTGTGGGTCCAAATATCAGTATGTTATTCTGGGCTACCATTTTACATTCTTTTTCTCTCCTCATACTCCTAATCTTTCTCATTTTCTAATTTAGAATGTTGTAGTGGAAAGAAAGCCCTTGTTTGTTAACTCAAAGTACTTTGTTAAAGCCTTAATACTAACAAAAAGATGGACAGTTGGTTTTCAACCGAGCATATTGCAAGAAAGACCTAGAAAGTTGTTTCCATAAAGACTGTAGTATAGGAATACCCTATGGAACAATTCTACTCTCTCGTAAGGGATGACTATTAGTTGAAATTAACTTACTGGCACCTAACAACTATAACAAAAGCGATGTAATGAAAACCTATAGTCAAGATTACCTTATTCAACTTTTACTCTTAAAGTGGGAAACAACTTCACAGAGGTAAAGTTAAGATACTTAGAGGCACATTGAGAATTTTACTATTAGGGTTGTGAGTTTGTTTGGTGGGGTTTTTGTTTGTTTTAATATGGGTTTTTATGTACAATGTTTTTATTCATTGAAAATATCTTTAACAAGAAACATAAACAGTGATTATACACATAGAATTCACCTGATGGTACACACAAGAATCTGATTGACTACATCTGAGTAAATAATAGCTTGAGAAACTCAGTATCAGCTACGAAAACTAGGTCAAGTGCTGATTGTGGAACAGACCATAAACTACTCATAAGCAAGTCAAACTGAAGCTATTGAAAATTAAATCAAATTCACAAGAACCAAAATTTGACCTTAAGTCTATCCCACTTTAATTTAAAAATCATCTTAGGAATAGGTGTGAGGCTTGAACACTAATGAATGAAGACTGAATCTTGCTGAGACCTTTTAATTTCACTATTCAAAACTCAGTTTTGGATTTAACTGATTATTGCTTTTCTGTTCTCAATTTCATTACTTTATACTCTTCTACTTATTAGTTCTTTGAGTTTGTGTGGTGGGTTTTTCATTTATTTGTTTTTGTTCTGTTTTGTTTTACTCTTTTGGCAAAGAGCTGTGCTGCAATCCTGAATAGACATCGCTTGGGGCCAACAGCTGTTGAGAAGGAGAAGGATGGGCAAACGTCTCCCTTTTGATTAACTGTCTCTGAAAACCCTCCTGAGGGTCAGCTACGGGTTATTTCCTACACTATGATACACATTAACAACTTTCTTTATGAAGAAGTTTGGATTATGGAATCAAGACCTTTCTTCTTTTTTAACACAAACATTTAATACACCAATTAGTATATCAGCATTTTCTAACTGTATTCCATAAATATCGATGTCTTCACCCCCCCCCCAATTCAGTTTCTTTTCTAAATTTCTTTGAGACTTGGTTGGCTTACAGACATGTACTGCTTAATTTCCTAGTGATTAAAGGTTTTCTCTTATTTGTCTGTTTCTTTTTGGTATAATTCCAATATTGTATGATTTCAGTTCTTTTATATTTGCTAAGATTTGTTTTGTGATTCATGATGTGGTCTATCATGGTGAATTTTCAAGGACACTTACAAAGGGTATTTATTCTACCGATGGGTGAAGTATTCCATAAATACTGATTCAGTTTATTTGGCCTATGTTGTCTTTCAACTGTTTAATTACTGAGAGGGAATTCTTGAAGTCCTCATTTGCAATTTAGGAATTGTCTAATTTTATTTCAGGTCTATTAGCTTCATGTGCTGTTGTGTTGTGTTTTGTTGTTGTTGTCACTTAAAAAATACTATAGGAAGTTCTGGTGGCCTAGTGGCAAGAAGCTGCACTGCAATCCCAAAGGAACACGGTTCGGATCCACCAGATGCTACACTGGAGACAGAGGGGCAATCTCTTCCTGCGCCAGTCAGATCCAATTCGATGGTACACATAATTGGTCTTCAGAACTCTAGAGAAGTCTCTGACAGCAGAGTTCCCAATGCAATTTGTCTTTTGATTTTTTGATTGCTGGTGCCAAGAGAGTTGGTTGTTTCACCAAGCAACCTGAAGTTATCAACAACCTCAAACTTTCTGCATCCTCCAAGAAGATTCCAGTTGGTTCAGTGGTGAGAATCTTTGTTTTCTTGATGTTGAGCTTCAATCCATACTGAAGATTAGGTGTTTTTATTTATACTGGTATTTTTATATTTTAGTCAGCATTTAATTATATTAAAGATTATAGCTTTAATCCTTGTAAGAAACCAGCACTTATAATTTTGTTCATGAATGTATGTAGAAACAAACTTGCCAAAGGTTACTGCTTTTAGGTACTACAAAAGTTGGCTCTAATGTATAATCACTCTATGAAAAAAGAGAACTGTCTACTTGATATTGTGCTGTTCTCTTTTGGCCATTTTCTGGGTCATTGCATTAATTCATCTCCTTTAGAGATAAAGGTGATTGTCTTTGTTTCATTATATTTTCTTTCTTCCTGTTATATGGTGCTTCACCATACCTATTTAATTTGTATGTTGAGAACATAATTTGAGAAGCTAGACTTTATGACCTGCTCGCTGAAACTGAGGAGGACCTCATGCACTTACTGCAGAGGGTCAAGGACTGCAGCCTTCAATATGGACTGAGGCTCAATGTCAAGAAGACAAAGATTCTCACCACTGGACCAATCGGTAACATCAAGACGGATGGCGAAGAGATTGAGATTGTTCACAGCTTCAGTTTGCTCGGCTCCACGGTCAACACTCTTGGCACCAGCAGCCAGGAAATAAAAAAAAAATGTATTGCGATGGGAAATTCTGCTGTTTGGGACCTCTCTAAAGTACTCAAGAGCAACGGTGTCTCTCTGGAGACTAAGGTGCACCTGATACAGGCCATGGTTTTTGCAGTCACTTGCTATGCATCAGAGAGTTGGACAATGACTAGGGAGGATAGAAGGAGAATTGATGCCTTTGAGCTGTGGTGCTGGAGAAGAGTATTGAATGTACCATGGACTGCCAAGAAAACAAACAGATTCATCCTAGAGAGGGTTAAACCAGGCTGCTCCTTGGAGGCAAGGATTCTGGGGCTTCGACAGACATACTTTGGACATGTTGTAAGGAGAGACAGGTCTTTAGAGAGGGACATCATGCTGGGTAGAGTAAAGGGACAGGACAGGAGGGGAAGACCCTCTATGAGGTGGATTGATTCAGTGACTGGGGTAATCAGGATGGGTGTGTCAGAGGCAATACGATTGGTACAGAATAGAGAAGGGTTTAGGGCTGTTGTACATAGGGTCGCTATGAGTCGCAAATGACTAGATGGCACATAACAACAACAACAACAACAGACTTTATGAAGAGTAATGTAGCCTCAGGATTAGAGGAAGACTTACCAGTTACCTATGTTATGCAGGTAACACAGCCTTGCTTTCTGAAAGTGAGGAGGACTTGAAACATTTGCTACAGAAGATTAAAACACTGTAGCCTTCACTATAGATTGCATCTCAAAGTCAAGAAAACAAAATTTTTGCCACTGAACCAATAAACATCACGATAGATGGAGAAAAGACTGAAACTGTCAATGATTTCCTCTAACTTGGATCCACAATAAATAAACAAACTTGTTATCACAGTCAGGAGGTCAGGAGACACACTGCACTGGGAAAATCTGCAGTCAGGGACCGCTCTAAATCACCGAGGAGCAGTGATGTTAGTTCTAGAAATCAGGTGTGCCTGATTCAGACCATGGTCTTTTCAATCACTTGCTATGCATCAGAGAGCTGGATATTGAATAAGGATTACAGAAGAAAAAAGAATGCTTTTAAACTAAGGTGCTGAGGGAGAATATGGAACATTCCATGGACTGCCAAAAGAACAAATATGTCTTGGTGAAGGCAAAGCCACACTGTTCCTTGGAAGCAAGGATGGTGAAGCTTCCTCCAGCGTATTTTGGACCTGTTGCTAAGAAAGGCTAGTCCTTGGAAAAAGATATCATGCTTGGATAGGTGGAGGCGCTGTGAAGAAGAGGAAAGCTCAACCAGGTGGGTTGACACAGTGACTGCAGCAATTGGTATCAGCAAAAGTGTATTGGGGGTTGTGAGGTTTTTACAGGAAAGGGCAGTTTTCAGAGCTATTGTTTTCTGGTTGCTATGAGTAATACTCAACATCATCATCATAATAATAATAATGTTGTTGTTATGTGCTGTCGAGTCGCTTACCACTCATAGCGACCCTATGCACAACAGCCCTATACTGTGCTCTGTCCTGTGCCAATCGCACTGTCTCTGACACTCCCATTCCGATTATCCCAGTCACTGAATCAATCCACCTCATAGAATTCCTTCCCCTTCTGTGCCGTCCCTCCACCCTCCCAAGCATGATGTCCTTCTCCAAGGACCGGTCTCTCCTCACAACATGTCCATAGTATGTTAGACGGAGCCTCAGAATCCTTGCCTCCAAGGAGTCACCCTGTTTAACCCTTTCCAGGACAAATCTGTTTGCTTTTCTAGCAGTCCATGGTATTCTTAATACTCTTCTCCAACACCACAGCTCAAAGGCATCAATTCTCCTTCTATCCTCCTTGGTCATTGTCCAACTCTCTGATGCATAACAAGTGATTGTGAAGACCATGGCCTGTATCAAACGCACCTTAGTCTCCAGAGAGACACCATTGCCCTTCAGGACTTTGGAGAGGTCCCTAACAGCAGACTTTCCCATGGCAATGCACCTTTTAGTTTCCTGGCTGCTGGTGTCAAGAGTGTTGACTATGGAGCCAAGCAGACTAAAGCTATGTACAATTTTAATCTCTTCACCATCTATCCTGATGCTGCCAACTGGTCCAGTGATGAGAATCTTTGTCTTCTTGGATTTTCAGAGTCTGTAAATAACTTGGGAGGATATTGTCCATCCCTTTCCCACTGAGTGATTAGTGAATTCAAAACTCCTGTCTTTGGATTAACAGGACAATTCCTTACACACTAGGCTATCAAATTTCCCTACTCATTTTTTAAAATTAATTTATTCTATTTTTATTATAATAATAAGGAATTGTCCTGTTAACCCAAAGACAGTAGTTTTGAATTCACTAATCACTCAGTGGGAAAGGGATGGACAATATCCTCCCAAGTTATTTATAGCCTTTGAAAACCCACTGAAGAGTCAGTTATAAATCAGTTCCAATTTGGCTCACTCAGTTCTGCACATCACAACAACACATATTATGACATTTTCTTTTTAATCTGTTTCAAGGGAAAGGAGTAAAACTTTTGGGTCAAATAAAATGTGGTATATTGTTGCTGTTGTTGTTGTTGTTATAGACAATGGAATCAGAACGAATCCATAGCTTAACACCCAGTAGGTTTACAGAAATAGTAAATTTCAAGGGAGGAGATTATCTATTCTTCTTCAGATGAACTGTTGGGAAATTTGAAGACTATTATGTTTGGGAGATTGTGTGCAACTTCTTAACACTAGACCTCCTGGGCTCCCAAATACTTGGCATATTGTTGTTGCTGTTCTATCCTGTGCCATCCTCACAATCTCACATTCCAACCCATTGCTGAAGTTGGCATATTTTCTCATTGGGGACCTTCTTCTCCTTCACTGACCCTTCCTCTTGGTGTAGGTAGATGGAAATAAATTTAATGATTAAAAACCTTGTTACTTTCTCTTGCTTTTATCATATGTAAAAATATGGTTCTTTGAGAAGCTGCTGGTGCTAACATGAACCATGATGAATGAATCATCTCTAAGTGTTCCACTTAAATGTAATTCTTAGGTACATTTAACTCTTAGTTACAACTCTTTAGTTACATTAAACTCTTAGTCTAGAATGAAAATATCCTGAGGAATAATAAGCTTGATTAAACCATTCCTACTATTCTAGTATTTTACAATAAATCTTGTTTGTACATAAAAATATATAAAAAGAACCATTGTTCATTCAATGCAATCTTGACTTGCCTAATAAAATGCGTGATATTCTAATTTCATTAAGGGAGATAGTGAAACAAAATTTTCAAACAGTTGTATATGTTCATAATAATCTTCACTATACCTCTTGTGGAGCATCAGTTTGTATAAATCTCTCATATATTGTTTTTGCTTTATGGATAATTTGTTGTGGCTCCTTGATTTTCTTGAAATCTTCACAAGCTTTCCAAAATTCAATGTTTTCTTCACTGAATTCAGTTTTAAGAAATCTGGTAAAGGCCTCTAGTCCACCTAAAAAGTATTGTTTTAATTATAAGAGATTAATAATGAAAACATGAAAGTATTAGAATATAACTATGAGTAATGTTAAATTGTAAATATCTTCCTTTTAATCCAGTACAGAATACATAGGTATACCATATATATTTATGGAACTTCATATAATTAAGTTGAGATATTTATAATTGATGAAAGCAAAATAATCATTACTTTTGAAATGATACTTAAGTCCCACTTAAATTTAGGAAAGGAGCAAAGATTAAAAAACTTCATCTCAGATATTTTTGGGTTTTATAAGTGCTATCAAGCTGACTACAACTTTAAGTAATCAAATGAACAACAAAACTGAACTTCTAGTCTACTTTTCCTGAAACTTCTTTTTTGTTGTAGTCTGCATTACACTTAACAAATATTGCCTATACTTTCATGAAATTAAAAAAAAAAAAAAAAACAACCAACAACAAAACCAAAACATACACACAACACAGAAAACTCACCACAAAACATTGTGAATAATCTTAGGGAGTAAATATCACAACCAATCCTACTATGAGTTTTAAGCTTTGGTATCATCAAAAGATTGTAATTTCATTAAAAGTACTTATTAAAAATGCTTTCTTAACTTCAAATATTTTTGTAGCCACCAATCTATTTCCTTTCTACTCACAAAGGTAATGGCTTTAAAGCAAGTTTTCTGTGCTTGAACTCTTAGTTTTTTAAAACTCTCTCATTGGTGTCCCTATCCATTAAAATCTGATATATATTTAGCTAACTATTTCAGTTGTTTGTGTACAATTTCTTTCTCCTATGTTCAAATAAAAATTTATTTTTTCAGACCATATGTTCATTGGGTTTTTTTTTTTCTGAACAAATGGGTGTTGGTGAAATGTGTGTGCAATTCCCCTTAGTGTTCTCAGTTTCCTCTTAAAATTCTGAAGATTGCTTTTTCTGAATCCATCTCATTTTCTCCTTTGCTCTTCTTTAAATGTCATATCTTGAGCAATCATTTCAACACTCAGTTCTAGTCAATATGTTGACCGTCCTAAAAATTCATCTACACTCCAGATCTTTTTCTTGATCTCATAGTTTATATCACTCGCCATTTGGAAAACATATCTACTGAATTTCCCACCAAAGTAATTATATCTCAGTTGAATTAGCATCTTTATTCAAAAGTCTTCCTGTATATATTTCACATTTAATGACATGGTATATCGGGTTCTTAAGCCTACTAGAACCCTGGAATTTATCTTCAAAACTCAAAACCAAATCCATTTCCGTGGAGTCAATGAGGACTCAGGCAACGGTCCAGAGTGTGGTAGAATGGCCTCTATGTGGTTTAAAAATGTGCTATCTTCACAGAAGCACTCTATTACATCTTTATCCTTAAGAAAGTCTGTTGTTATTGTGTACTATTAAGTTGGAAATAGTCTACAACTGGCCCTCCAGCTTGACCTTGCTGCAGGTTTTCAAACTCAATAATAACAAAGGAGGAGGTTGTTCATGTTTCTTTCATAGAGCAACTAGTTGTGAAGTTTCTTACACCTAGAGGTCCCTTTAGGGGAGACAAGTGAGTTGCTTGTTGAAAGTGAGGAAGACTTGAAGCACATATGGCAGAAGATCAAGGAATGTAGCATTTGGTATGGATAGCACCTATATGTCAAGAAAACAAGGATTTTTTACCGTTGTACTCATAGGCAATGATATGTTGGATGGAGAGGAGATTGAAGCTGTCAAAAGCTGCAGATTGCTTGGATTCACAATTAACATCCATGTTACCAGCAGTCAGAAAATAAGGAGACACATTACACTGGACAAATCTATAGTTAGAGACCTCTACAAATTATATTTGGACATGTTGCTAGGAGGTGATATTCCTTGGAGAAAGATATCATTCTGGGAAGGGTGGAGGATCGGTGAAAGAAAGACCCTCAACCAGTTGGATTGATACAGTGACTGTTGTAATAGGCTCTTCTGTGTCAGAAAGTGTGAAGTTGGCACAGGATAGACCAGAGTTCAGATCTTTTGTTCATAGAGTCCCTATGAGTCTTCCTGAACTCAATGACTATTAACAACAACAACAAATTACTGAGGAGCAATGATGTATGACAGTTTGAGGAGTAAGGTGCATCTGATTCAGGCCATAGTCTGTCTAGTCTTTCTGATCACTTGCTATGAATCTGAGATCTAGACAATGAATAAGGATGCCAGAAGAAGAATTGACACCTTTGAGCTGTGGTGTTGGATCAGAGCACTGAACATCCCATGGATGGCCCAAATAACAAACAGATATGTCTTGGAGAGGGTGGAAACAAAGGAATAAATGAGCTTCAATCTTATCACCATGAGAAAATTTACTCAAATAACCCAAATGATCTGCTGAAGATAGAGAGGAATGGAATAAATTTAGATCTATTAGTCTATCTAGTAGTCAAAGCTACTTAATTCTCAAGTTGTAACTTCCCCTGTAATTTTGCTATATATATGATATAGAAAACTCACTTATTATTTAAACAACTTTTAAGAAATTTTTTATTTGCTCTTAAAACATTCTAATTAAAATATAAAAGATTTATTTTTTAACATGTTTGATTTTAAATTAACAAGGAACAAATACAGACAATCCAAACCACATCTTGGACTTTTTTTCCACTGGATGATTCTAGTATCTTGGAAATTCCATCAGTATTTTCAGTATGAGAACTTACAGGCTATTCTATTATTTCTGAACTGTTGATACTGCAAGGTAATTTTAAGGGGGAAAATGATCTCAGAAAAATTGAGTCTAATTGTGTAGGGGAAAAAGTCCTTGGAGAAAGTCGCAACTGGTAGAGTGACAGTCATGTAGAGAATTGTAACCTGTAGAATGCAGAAAATAACATTTTAGAGTGACCTTTTGAAATATCAGAGTCAGGTGAGTTGTAAGGGAAAATACCTAGAGAGTGTGGACTCTATGTACCAGAAAACTTCTGTCCTCAGTGGGAAGCCCAACACATTACTGAGGAATGATTTGTGGCAAAGTGGAACACAAAAACATAATTGAAAAAAATTAGGAAAAAGGCTCGGAAATTTTGCAATTCTAGTATGCTTGTGAAGAACCAATTAAAATAACACACTAAACTACAAGTGCTCACTTAACCTAAACACAGCACAGTGCCCTATTTGAATTACTGACCCACAAGTTCATTCATATCATAATGAAGAAGAATGTGGCATAAGGATTGGAAGAAAATTCATTAACATACTGCATTGTACAGATGACACAACCTTGCTAGCGAAAATTAGGGAGGAATGAAGTGTTTGCTCCAAAAGATCAGACTGTTGCCTTCAATATGAATTGAATCTCAACATCAAGAAAACAAAATCTTTACCACCAAGGCCAACAGGCACCAATATGATAGATGCAGAAAAGATTAAGGTTATTAATTATTTCGCCTTGCTCAGATCCATAATAAACATATTTGGCACTTGTAGTCATGAAATCGAAAGACAAATCACATTAGGAAAATCTGCTGTCAAGGACCTCTCCACAGTACCAAAGAGCAACAATATAGTCTAGAGACTAAGGTACACCTGACCCAGGCTGTAGTCTTCTCAACTACTTTCTATGCATCTAAAATCTTTATAATTACAGAAGAGGAATTGATACCTTTAAATTGTGTGTCAGAGAAGAGTATTAAACACATACTAAACTGACAAGAGAATAAACAGATCTGTATTGGAATGAGTGAAACCAATTTGCTTCTTGGAGGTGAGAATTTTGAAGCTCTGACTCCCATACTTTGGACATGTTGACAGGAGGTACTAGTCCTTGGAGAAGGAAGGACATCATGTTTGGAAGACTAGAGGGTCAGCACAGAAGACGAAGACCCTGAATAAAATGAATTGACACAGTCACTGTGTATAAATGGGATCAGGTAAGTAAGAAACAGTGAGATACACTCAGGTTAGGGCAAGGTTCAGAGCCCTTGTTCATAAATTTGCTATGAGCCGTAACTGACTCCACACATGTAACAACAACTATGTCTTGGAGTATATTTTTAAACAGGTTGGTTGACTAGAATACAGCATTATCTATAAGAATTAATAAATTATTACTTTTTCTTAATGAATAATTAAATGTATGAGTGTCTAATGAGATGAAAATGGGCCATGGAGGCAGAGGTCTGTGAGCTAGAGAAAGGGTCAGAAAGAGTAAGAATAGCCCCTCACTGCCTCAGAGTAAAAAGTAGATAAAGAGCCCTTAGTCCAGACCCATAGTGCCTCTAGAGCTACACCAACAGCAATGGGCTCCTTTATTACTTGCTGACTCACAGTTATGATACCACAAATGGGGTTTATTAGGGAAGGAAAGTGAAGATTGGAGGAAGTAAAGAATATCTCACAGTAAAAGTCCAAGTTTATCCAAACAGTCCTAAGGCACAATTTCTCATATAGTCCAGGCCGGGGTTTCGGTTCAGCAATCAAATCCACATCACTCAGCAAGCTTTGCCCCAGAGCAGTTATAAATCAGCGTCTCCTTCAAGTATACAGCAAGAAAAGCAAACACCTTGAACTATGGCCAGCAAAAATGCAATCCTGCCACAGTCTCTCCAACATCATCACCAAAGTCTTGCAAACAGAGTCTACTCTAGTCTCCCTCAAGTCTTGCCACCCACAAGCATTGCTCACCTAAAGTTTTACTGCTCAGTATTGGAAGCACTCTTTTTCTTATCCTAATCCCACAGTTGATTCTGATTGGTAAGACCATATGTCTGCAGTTAAGGTTGCTAGAGACCAGAGAGGGCTAACCAGTGGCTAAAAAAAGCCAACATCTAGCTTAACAACAACATGAGAAAAAGACATTCACTTAGAACATAATACAATTTCAGAAAAGTTTAGTATTTTCAATGATAAATAAAACATAGAACATTTTCAGGAAGAATCATAAATCATAAATGAAAAAAAAACTTGATTCAAGATAAATGCCTTAAAGGTCGATCAGATATCTATGCATGAGGGAGAAAGAAACC